CCCCAAAACCCCAAAACCCCAAAACCCCAAAACCCCTCCTTAAATAATAATTCTTGAAAAATCGACTAAATTTTAACATAATAAAAGATGTCTATTGTAGAAGAACTCCAGGAGAAATTTGACCAGGTAGATGAGACTAAGTCCCTAGGAGGGGCCATCAAAACCTACGAGCAGATCATCACCTTCGATGACAACAGTGAAGAAGTTGTCAAGATCAAGGAGAAGGCTATTTATAACCTCGCTAGTATATATTCGGAGAAGAAGTTGGCTGACGATTTAATCACTCTTTTGGAAACTATACTCCCTATTTTGAAAGAGATCCCACAGAAGTCGAAGACTGCCAAGATTGTCAGAACTATTTTTGACTTTACTACTAAAATCCCAGGAAACGAAGACAAGTTAATTGAGATGTGTGAAAAGATAGCTGAGTGGTGTGAAGAGAACAAAAGAACCTTCCTCAGGCACAGGATTCAGACCAAACTTGCAGAATTGCTCTACAAACAGCATAAATATAATGACTCAATCGAGTTATTGAATGATCTGCTTTATGAAATGAAGAGACTTGATGACAAGAACATGCTCGTTGAAATCCAGTTGATTGAGTCTCAGGTATATCATGCCTTGCACAATATCCCAAAGTCAAAGGCTGCCCTGACCTCTGTGAAGACAGCAGGTACTTCGATTTACATCGCTCCAATGTTGCAAGCACAGATTGATATGCAGAGCGGAGTTATTTCAGCAGAAGAGAAGGATTTCAACACTGGTTACTCATATTTCTACGAAAGTTTTGAAGGATTCAACTCTTTACAAGATCAATCAAATGCTCAGAGAGCATTGAAATACATGCTTATGTCTAAGATTATGAACAAACAGCCAGAGGATGCTTTGAACATTCTTAACTCCCAAATTACTCTCAAGTACCAAGGTTCTCCTCTTGAATGCATGAGGGAAATTGCTAAAGCAGTCAAAGATCAAAACTTGCTAGCTTTTGAGAAAGCAAAGGAAGATTTCCAGGATGAAATTTTGTCTGATGCCAATGTATTGGCCATCCATGTCAAAGACCTATATAGCACATTACTTGAAGATAACTTGATGAAGATTATTGAACCATATAGTGAAGTGCAGCTGGATTTCATAGCAGACCAAATCAAGCTCTCTCTTCCTACAGTTCAAACAACTCTGAGTGGAATGATTCTTGACGAGAAAATTGAGGGTACTCTTGATCAAGGAAGAGGCTGCCTGGTCATGTTTGAAGAGCAAGACACTAATAACAAAAAGTTTGAGCACACTGTAGATATTTTCGATAAGCTGTCTAATGTTATCGATGCATTTTACGAGAAAACAAAGAAGGTTAAGGAACTATCTCAATCTCTGCAGTAATTTATCAACTTTAAATCTGCTATTTGGGGTTTTGGGGTTTTGGGGTTTTGGGGTTTTGGGGTTTTGGGG